AATGCTGCTCTGACGAGTACTCTTCTCATGGATTCAGGCCGTACTCGCACCAGCTCTTTCCAGGATGTATCTGGCCGCGTCCATGGTCAGACTTTGATGAGTGCGGGCTCACGTGGCCCGCTGGACAGCAGGTGTTCCGTCCCACCAATAGACTGAAGCTCTCTGGAGAGGATATTTTTCATTACTGGAGGATGGTCTCATAACCCTCCGTAATGGGCAAACTCCTACAAAGACATTTTCCTTGGATTCGAGCTCATGACCCACCCGTTCCTCTTTTCCATCACGATAACGCATACACACAACAGAAAGAATGTGGCGTCAGAAAACGAACCGAAGACGCCGTTCCGTTTTCCCGTCATGTACATGTCTTCGCGAGGGGGAAGAAAAAAGTGATTTTCGAATAGCTGCACTGACTCCAAGAGCGCCCGTCACACAGTTATTACCAAACCGGACAATCTCTCAGAAATGAGATCGGTGTGAAATTGAGCTTCAGCCGCTCCGAACAAGACGAGTTAACAGACAGACACCGTTGTAAACAAACATCAAGAAGCGATTAAAATACCAATGCTAACCATCCCTTCCCGACTTTCGTCCGCCATTCTCCCAGGAAAAAACAGAAAATGACAGAAACTGAGGTGCGACAAAAGACTCGGTCTTCGCCGGAGTACTGGCGCAGGCAGGGAGAAGAGAACTGACTACACCTAACTACCACTCCATCTAGTCAACCACCATCCTAACATGATCATCAACGATCAAGAAGAAACGACTTAATGTAATTGATTGGTGCTCATAATCCCCAGACTACTCAACTAGAATGCAACGAAAACGCACAACAGTGAAACGGCCGAACCAAATCGCATACGCCACTCTCCGTGGTCCGCGACTGCCGATGGTGAAGCCAATACCATCGAAGCCAGCATCCCATGTACACTCCAAAATACCTGCTACCTACGCACACTCTCTTAATCAAGCTTTGGAGATGTGCTCAATCAACTCCACCACGCGGTTGGAGTATCCCCACTCGTTGTCGTACCAGGACACCAGTTTCACGAAGTTGCCGCTCAGGGCAATGCCCGCCTTGGCGTCGAAGATGCTCGACCTAACATCGCCGATGAAATCCGACGACACCACATCGTCCTCCGTGTACCCCAAGATACCCTTCA